AGAGAGCGGGACAGTGGAGGGACCGAGCCAGCCTGCACCAGCGAGCGAGCCAGCCCACCGGACCGGTACCTACGTCTTGGGGTGCTTGCGGGCCTGGCTGGGCGTGCTCAGTTCGGAGAGCTCGGGCAGGGCTTCCAGCAATGGCTGCATGTCTCCCACCACGGGGGTCGCTTTCCGCTTTGCCTCGGCTTTTTGCTTCCGTCTCGCCAGCTTCACACCTTCTATTTCTGATTCCAAAACAAGATCATCAAGAGAGCGTCAGTCTCCAAGCACCTCCCCACAGCAGGCTGTGCCGCGGCGACGGAGGAACACACCGGATCGAGATGGGGAGCCAGAGCACAATTCTCAAGTTTGTGGATGTTCCTAAGCTGGAGGGGTACAAGTGCTTTGGACTGAGCTGCACCGACGGTGGAAATGGCCTGGGGTAAGCAGGATGAAATTCAACAAGGACAAATGCAAAGTGCCCCACTTAGGAAGGAACAATCCATGTCCTACACACAGAATGAGAAGGAGCACGGCAGAAAGGGACCTAGGGGTCAGAGCGGACCACAAAGCTAAATGAGAGTCAACATTGTGACCCTGTTGCAAAAACAGTACAACACACAAAGCATCATTCTGGGATACCTCAGCAGGAGTGTTGTGAGCAAGACATGAGAAGTCATTCTTCCACTCTACTCTGCACTGATTAGGTCTCAGCTGGAATATTGTGTCCAGGTCCGAGCACCGCATTTCAGGAAGGATGTGGACAAATTGGAAAAAGTCCAAAGGAGAGGAACCAATGATGAGAGGTCTGGAAAACACAAGCTACGAGGGAAGACTGAAAGAATTGGGTTTGTTTAGTGTGGAGAAGAGAAGTCTAAGGAGGACATGATTGCCAATTCCAAGCACATAGCAAGTTGTTGCAAAGAGGAGAGCGATCATTTTTTTGCTCATCTAGTGACAAGAAGCAATGGGCTTAAATTGCAGCAAGGACAGGTGAGATCTAGGCTGGATGTTAGGAACAACCTCCAGACAGTCGGGGCAGTGAAGCACCGGAGCGTACCCCCTGCGAGGTTGGCTAATGAGACTGTTGTACTTCCCTCGCAGGCCCAGCGAGGGGGTGACCAGCAAGGCAAGGGTGGGGAACGGCAGACAGAGGAGCCGACGTGCTAGATTCACACGGCCCTTCCAGTGAGACTGGAGAGCAAGGGGAGAGTGCAGATTTGGGCCTAGGGGGGCGTGGCTCTCTACCACCCAACGGACTGCCTTCAGTTCTAGTTGCAGGGGGAAGGGTCTGTTCCGGCGAGTGCTCTGGGCTGGGACTCAGAAGAGCCAGGTTCAATTCATGGCTCCGGGCCTGTCACCAGGGGCTCATCTGCAACCGGAGACTTCTGCTGGGTCTGCTCCCCTGCCCCGGAGTGCGGGTGCCCACAAAAGCTCACGACACCGGCGACGTGTTTTGTTAGTCGCCACGGCCATTTGTTGGAGTTTTGTCAGTGACAGACAAACACAGCTGCCCCG